AACTCCAGTGGTTCCCTCTCACCTCCAAGATAATACAAATTCCTCTGTTAGGCACTGAGAGCCTTTCATGACCTAATTCCAGCCTACCTTTCCAGGACATTACATATTACTCTCCTTTACCCATTCTACCTACATCCCAGACAAACTAGCATTCTCATGATATGATGTTCATATGATGTTACTCTGTGTTCTGGCCTCAAGGCCTGTAAGGCACTCCCTCCTTGACTCTATTTAGAATCCTTCACTTCCTCCAAAACTCAGCTCAAATACTGTCTCCTCCTACATAAAGCATTTCCTGATCTGCTTCATCCCTCCTCTGACTTCCCCTACCCATCTTGAAAATTGTATTCACTTTGTATGCATTTTGTATCTACTCATATGTATACATGTTGTTTCTCCCAATACAATGTAAGCTCTTTGAGGGCAGGGACTGTTTTAATTTTTGTCTTTGTATCTCTAGTGCCTAGCACATGGGTGATGTTTAATAAATAAATGCTTGTTGACTTATGCCAAGTCCAGGGCTCTTTCCACCATGCACAGTGCCTCTGTGAAGATGAGGAAATATTACCATCTTGGCAGCACCCACTAGAGACACAGTCACACACAAGAATCTGTGGTCTAACTGGAACAGATTTAATAGCTAAAGACATGAGATTAGCCAAGGAGATATCTGTTGAGGAAGTGAAAGGTATATCATCCCATGGTTGCAGTGCTGGCTTCCCCAGAGGAGCTAGTACCAGATGAATGGCAGAAGATATTAGTGGAGAAGACTATCCAAAAGAAATTCATGACTATCTGTCAACATTTGAGAATTCCCTTCAGTCTGTGGATGAAATGCTAAAGATCATGATGTCAGTTTCTAAAAATGAGTTACTGCAAAAATTGGACCCACTTGAACAGGCCAAGTTGGATTCAGTTTCTGCTTATACACTGAATTCAATGTTTTGGGTTTACTTGGCCACTCAAGTGGTTAATCCCAAGGAACATCCTGTAAAGCAGGAAATAGATAGAATAAGAATATATATGAACAGAGTCAAAGAAATTACAGACAAGAAAATGTCTGCCAAACTGGATAAAGGAGCTGCTTCAAGATTTATAGGAAATGCTCGCTGGGAAGTCAAACCAGAAAAAGGATCAAAGTCCTCAAATAAAGGAAAAAGTGAATCTTTGGAAGTGAAAGGCATCTGGAAGAAAGATGTCCACCATGTGGTAGGTACTGGGAATACAAACACAGTCTCTTCTCTCTAGGAGCTTACATTCTAATGGAGGTCCATTGCTAGATAGAATATTATACGAGAGAGTAATGGTCTTGGTATTTACTGGATTCATCTCCTGCTTCAGGTGTTTCATTTTAAAGAACAAATGAGAGAATGTATAAGAAGTGTTTTGCAAATCTTAAAGCCCTATATAAATGAGTTATCTTTATTAGCAGAGGGAGGGAAAGCACTGAGGAAAAGTAGGAGACAACTTGAGTCACTTCCTAAGAATGGTACTCAGTGCTTCCAAAAGTGAGGAACAAAAGCAGACTTAGATGTCAACTAGTTCAACTTTACAGATGAGGAAGCTGAAGACCATAGAGCTTCAGTAATTTGCCCAAGATCACACACTGTAAATGGCACAGCTGGAATTTGAACCACCACTCTAACTTTCACCCTTATTGATTTTTCCAGGTGTAGGCTCAATACATATTTGTTGACTACTGCTTCTGTTGGTCTATCACCTACTCCTCCACTTTGTATTTTCACCGTTGCTAGTAAAGATTCTTGTCCATAGTTTTACAAGGAAATGAGGTTTAGTAGAGATTTGTTCAGTTGTTATAGTGTCTTTGGAGAAGGAGGAAATCCACTTTAGGATGTGGCTTTTAGAATGTGAACTGAAGCTAAATTTGTCTTTTGCGTGAGGATATCCCTCAGCTATCATAGTGTTATATGGGGAAAGTCTTCCAAGAAGCACAGAAAGGGGACAATAATCCATTTTCCGTTGAGATTTGAAAAGGAAGAAAATCAAAGATATTATGTGTTAGGTGCTGCAGAGAAGGCTATAAAGCCTTGATGAAAGAGCTGAGACAAAAGCAGGGTAAGATGAGTATCAGGAGGAGCAAAATATCCCCACCCATTGGTGATCCTGAGTAACTCTGGAAACCCTCATGGGCCTTAGTGTCTATCATAGCCACGTAACTCAAAAGTAACATAGCAATCATAGTATTTGTAAACAAATCTTTCGGGTGCACAGAGGGCCTAAAAGAATCCATCAGTGAATTCTTTTATAAAGTAAATACATATGACATCTAACAGTTTTTTTCTGAGATTTCATAATATTGAGTTTGCTCAATGGGTGTATGTTTCCTGCTTTACAATTCATTCCCACAAAGATCTTATTTCCTGTCATTTTCAGTCAAAGCTATCCTATTGACACTAGTTCATTCGTTTCCACTGAATCGGACCAATATCTAGCAAAGTGGGTGTAGCTTCGAAAGTCCTAGGAAAACTGCAGGACTAAGCAAAAGATGGAAAATAGGGGAAGTCAAAGATTAATCTTTAGCATACCAGCCCCACATACTTCCTACTATGTACTCAAGTGGAATGCCTGGAGACATACAGAGATAATGACACTTGTCTAACTGTATAACTTGCCCCAGAAGGAATTTATGATCATAGATTTAGAGTTGGAAGGGACCTTAGAAACCATTAAAAACAATGCTTTCAGTTTTGCAGATGATACTGACTTAAGCACTATGCTAGCCTTCTCTTAAAAGAGATAAATTTTTTCATAGTCCTCAACTATGAGATATTATAACTTGATAACTGTGAGCAAGTCACTTTTAGGCTCTCTGCGACTTGGTTTCCACATGTGCATTCCATGTTCACAATGATTTTACATTTCTTTTTTTTTGTTGGGCAATGAGGGTTAAGTGATTTGCCCAGGGTCACACAGCTATTAAGTGTTATGTGGCCAGTGCTCTATCCACTGCACCACCTAGCTGCCCCTGTACTTGCATTTCACATGACTGTGAGGAAAGTGGTCCACTGCACAGGATGTGTCCATCCCAAAGCAGGTGAAGATGAAGTTCTTGTCATGTTCTCTTCGCCCTACTCTCCTGAACCAGTTGTGGTATCATACCTGGATCCTTACTCTGAGCTCTGAACTTTGGCTGATGTGGACCTAATTGGGGGGCAGAAAGAAGTCATCAACCCTAGCTTATCCAGTTCTGTCCCCAGGGGAAGACAGTGTAAACAAAAGACCAAAAACTAGATAAAAATTCAGAGAGATGCCTTTAACCTACCCTTTTCAGTCCGGGGAGGTAAATATGAAACAGTGCTGACCAGCTTCTGAAGGAAGCTTTTTTCTTTAGAGGGTACCTTGAATATAGTGGGCTCTTAGCAAATGTGATGGAATTCCTTGTTCCAATAAATAAAATATCAGTGGGGCAGCTAGGTGGCGCAGTGGATAGAGCACTGGCCCTGAAGTCAGGAGGACCTGAGTTCAAATGCGACCTCAGACCAACCACTTGACACTTAATAGCTGTGTGATCCTCGGCAAGTCACTTAACCCCAATTGTCTTTAAAGAAAAATAAATAAATAAATAGAATATCAGTGATTAGGAAAACTTTCACGGGAAGATACATTTTAAAATGCATGTTACTAGTCACCTTCTGCAACAGAAGCAGATAGGAGCATATCTTCCTTTCTGAACTGAAACTGGAAATTAGAACTGACCCTAAGAGGATTTCTCCTCCTTCTCCTTGTATTCTATAGCTTGAAGAATAGTGAAATATAAGACTAATTAATGATAGTAATATATAGATCCTGAAGTATTTGTTTCCACCTTCCTTCTATTAAGCTATATCTCAGTTTCTTCCTCTAGAGGTGATCTCTCCTGGTCGCTGGATGAAACTGTGCTGGTAAAGTATTCAGTGATATAATCCTGAGGTACCCTTAGTAATGGCTGAAGATATCTCCCGGATATGTTTGCATTTTATTAGGGAACTCTAGAAGACACCCTCGCCTGCCTAAAAACATAAAGAACTAAAGGAATGACTCTAATGGTTGGGTTTCATGGCAGGCTGTTAGGGGAGATATTTTAGGGCAGCAGGGTCCTTCCTAGTGCCACTCTTCAGGACGGAAGGAAGGAAGGAAGGAAAGAGGGAAGGAGAGAGGAAGAAAATATTTAATATGCAGCTATTATGTGCCAAGCACTGCGTTAACGCCTTACAAATATTAGGTTCTATTATCATCTCCAGAAAACTGCAAAACTTCATTTTTAAAAATCTCTTGCTTCATTTCTTCTAGGTATTCATATAGCCCTTGTTGAAAATACCTTTTTTCCTGTCCCTCCACCCTTCTGAGAGATGTTTTCAGATCCGAAGCGACCCAAGCTCAGAACGTCCTGGCCCTGAGTGAGGAGAGCCCTTCTAGTTTCACAGAACGGGAGGAAGTGGAGAGAAGAGGGGAGGGGGTGGGAAGTTCTAAGAGAAAAGAAAAGGGAAGGAAAAAGATAAAGAATAACAAGCTTGCTTATTGTTGGCAATGAAGTCCCGTAAAAGGTCCCCGCCTTTTCCTTCCCCGTAGACCATCGGGATTTGCCCCGACTAGCACTTGAAAAGGTTCCTAGAGACGGGACAGACAGGTGAGAGAACCAAACCCAGAAATGTCCCCTCTCTAGCTATCCCAGTGCTAATGGGAATAAGCTACCAAACCAGCCGGGTCCAAGGGTTGGTTCGCCTCCTCACCACCTGCCAGCCTGTCCTTTGAATCCAGAAATTCCGAGTTCGAAAGGACCTCCGAGGTTCCCTAATGTGCTCTCCTCCCAGCTGCGAGTCCCAGGGCCTCCGCTGCCGGCAGGATTCCAGGAGCTGGCCCTCCCTCCCAGAATCTTTCATTCCTCCCCCTTGCAACTTCAGCTGAGCTGTCCCCTTTCCCAGCTCGCCCCTGGTGTACCGGCTCCCTATTCCTCATTCTAGTCCACGGCAGCCCATCCCCGAACGCTCCCGCTTCCTTACCCAGAAGTTCTCCCTGAACTTAGAGGCTATCATGACGTTCGAGTCTAGGCAGTAAGGTCCTAAGGTCCAGCTAGCAGGGCTGAGTGATTGCTGTGTGAAAACCGGAGTCCAGGCTGCAACTTTTGAGTTCCTCCTCAATCAGCCCCGCCCCTGAGTCCTAAATCATCACGGGATTGCGAGAATTCAGAATCCTCAAGCTGTCATTTCTCTGTGCTTTGCAGCAGCAGGAGGCAGAGATTATTAGAATAAACCCATTAGGCAGAAGAAGCAAAAAGAAAAATGCTCATTTGCAGGCATATTTTAAAAAAACCTGAAAAGATTTATATGAACTGATGCAGAGTGAAGTGAGCAGAACCAGGAGAACATTGTTTGCAATAACAGCCCACACTGTGTGATGACTAACTGTGATAGAGTTACTCTTCTCAGCAATGCAAGGATCTAAGACAACTCCTAAAGACTCACAATGGAAAACACTATCCACATCCAGAGAAAGAACTTTGGAGTCTGAATGCAGATGGAAGCATACTATTTGCTCTCCTTTTCTTTTGTTGTTTGTTTTGTCTCTTCTTTCTCATGGTTCCTCCCATTAGTTTCAATCAGGAGAATGATATAAGGAAAGTATAATCATAGAAGATTAATCTGATAACTGTTTTTTAATCTATTCTGTAAACTTTTTTATTTTTATAAGGGAATTCAACCCATTTAAATTCAACGTTACAAATAATAAATTTGATTTTGAAGTAGAAAGAGCATTGTGCTTGGAATCAGCAGAGACCTGAGTGAGTATGCAATATTCAACACTAGCTATGAGACATGGGCAAATCATTTAAAACTCTTTAAGCTAATTTTATCGTATATAAAATGATGACAGTACTTATCTTGAAGGATTACTGAGAGGTTCAAATGAGATCATATTTAAAAAGCACTTTACAAACTTTAAAGGACTTTATAAATGTCAACTAATTATTATTAATCCATCAAGAGGCAATGTGCTATAGTTTATAAGAGGGCCAGCCTTCTAGTCAGGAAGATGAATTCAAATCCCAATTCTGACATGTTGGCTATATGAGTCTGGGAAAGTAACTTAACCTAGACAACTCTGTTAGACAGTAAGTTGTAGAACAGTTGCTGGCCTGCACTGCTAGGAGTTTCCTCACTGGGAATTCCACATACCCATTATATTACCACTCAGGACAAAAAAAAGAATGCCTAAATGAGTTGTCATGACTAAACCTAGCTTCTTTGTATCATCTCAATATTGAAACAACACATATAACAGAAAAAGAGGGGAAGGAAAAGAAATCTTCCCAAGAAAACTCTTGTAGAAAAACCAACAGAAATATTGAAGCCAGGAATAAGGTAAAAAGAGGTCCTAATACAATGTATAAATTAATGAGAAGGTAGAGGAATAGGAGAAAGAGGGAGAAAGTAAGGAGAAATCTCCCAAAGGAAAAACAAGACTGCAATAACAACAAGAAATTTCAGAGTGATTTAGACTAGCCAGGTCAAATTCAGAAGACTCCTCACCAGATTGGCTGCAGTTATGAACTTTTCAGCCACAGAAACACTTAAGAGGCCATCTACTGAGTTTTAGAAAAGTTTCATTCTATGTCAATGAAGGAAGTGCACGTATGAATCAGGTATTTCTTTTTAATTTAAAAAAAAATTGGTTGTGTGTGTGTGAGGCAATTGGCGTTAAGTGACTTGCCTAGGGTCACACAGCTAGTGTTAAGTGCCTGAGGCTGCTTTGAATTCAGGTCCTCCTGACTCCAAGGCTGGAGCTCTATCTACTAAGCCACCTAGCCGCCCCTATGGATTCCTTTTAAAAATAACTTTTTAAGAGATCTTTTTTTTTTTGCATCATTATTCTGTCCAGTATCCATCCCCACCCCTTCCCATAGAGCTATCCCATAGAACAAATAGAATTTTTTAAGATTAAAAAAAAGAGAAAAAATTAGTAAAATTGATCAATACATCAAAAGTCTGAAAATATGTGCAATGTACCACTCATAGACCTCCCATCTCTGGAAAGGGGCGGAGGTCTCTTGTCATCTCATGAGCCATGTCGTTCTTTATAATTTTGCAGCATTCACTTTTGATTTTTTTGTGGGGTTTTTTTTGTTTACATTGTTGTAGTAATTGTGTATATTGTTTTCTTGATTGCTTCACTATATCAGAAATATTTTTGTTGGACTTGGCTAATATGGGAATTAATTCTATTTGACTACGCATATTTGTTACAATGGTTTTGTTTTCCTTGCTTTATTCAGGGGTGATGATGGGAAAAATGTGAGGGAGAGGTTTTTTTTTATTAAAAAAAATTTTTAAATCACTAGTCCCTTTTAAAATAAATCAAATTCATGATTGGGGGAAATCCCATATATGCCACTTGTGTTCATAAGGAAAGGCAGGCCAAATTCCTCAATGTTAAACTAGATGTTGAATCGGTAACCCTTCGCTACATAATACTAAACTTTCCAGTATTGATATGACAAAGACGAATGTTCCCCTTCTTCCTTTATAAAGGAGGTGGCACAATGGATAGTGCCAGGGCTGAAGTCAGAGACACCTGACCCTCAACAGCTGTACCACCCTGGGCAAGTCCTTTAACCTTTGTTGGCCTGTTTCCTCCACAGGCATAATTAGGATAATAGCACCTCCTTCCCAGGGTGGCTGAGAGGATCAAAAGAGATCATCTTTATAAAATGTTTAGCACAGTGCTTGGCACGTAGTAGGCATTACGTAAATGTTATTGTCATTTCACAGCATCGGTACAAGAAGTTGGTAGAACTTAGAATACCAGATCTATATCATACTCCAGCAATACTTCTGAGGGAAAATAAGCTTTTAGCAAAGAATCAGCAATCTTGAATTAGAGGGGAACTCAAGTGGAAAAGACAGACCCAATAACTGATTGGATTCATTCTTAAATTATTAAAAATAGTAGTCCTTATATTTGGAAAAACAAAAATTTTATTGATGAATTTCCAGTCTTCACTTCTATCAAAATTGGTATTTCTGATTATCACCCTGAGATCCTGAATATTGGCATGGTAGCAGAATGGTGAATTTAGAGTCAGAAGGCCTGAGCATAAATCCTGCCTCATACTAATTGCATGACTTTGGACAAGTCACTTCATCTCTCTGTAGGTATTTTTTCACTTAGAAGGTTGGAGGAGAAAGCCTCTATGGGTACCTTCAACTCTTCTATAATCCTATGAATCAAAGATTACCACGAAATACTTTGTTATATTACTGATTCCTTGAAAATGGGGAATTCATTCATGCGACAGTTTTAATCAGGGTATTTGATCGGCCATCCAGTCCTAACAATAACCCTTGTTTTGTAGCCATTTCCCTTTTCTGTTCTAGCATATCAGAATTTGGTGCCAGCCTTTCAATAGCTTTCATGATTTGACTCGAAAATTCAAGTTCTGATTTTTCCTTCTTCATGTTCCATCATCTGGAATCCCTTTCCTCCTCTCTAGTTTCGATTATTATTCAGGAACCCAACCACAGGCAAGAAATTTGTCTTGTGTAGTGGTGGGATAGTGCTTTATTTCTCTGTATTCAATGCCCAGCGCTGTGGGAACCTTTTTAGTTGCAGCAGCATCAGCTATTTTGAGGGAACAAGGAAGGACTCCTAAGTCCTTTTTTTAAGATTATAATTGATAGCTCACACCTTAAGTTAGACAGGTTTTTACCTGTATTGTTCACTCTTAAGATTGTGGTGTTCCATTACAAGCAAACTAAGTGAAGACACGTGGCAAGCCCAAGCAAGCTGATGTGCACACCACCAACTTCGTGCCCAAGTGATATAAAACGTGAATGTCCGAAATTTCTGCCTCCTGTGTGTAGACTAGGAGTGACATGGTAACACATTTTTGGATCAATTTGAAAGCTGAGTGGACTAGAGAATGGACTACAGTTAGTAAGACATTTGAGGCAGGGAGACCAAAGAAGGTTAATTGCAATAGTTCAGGAGGGGTAAAAGGCCTTTTTCGGGATGATGGCAGTGTTAGGAGAGATGGTATTATAAGAAATGTTTTGAAGATATAAATGACAGGACTTTACCACTGATTGGCTATGGGGAGGGCATGAGAAAGAGTAGGGGGCAACACCTAGACCTAGGTTGTGAGACTGTGACTGGGAGGATGGTGGTATCCTTAACAGTAACAGGAAAGTTAAAAAGGGACAGTTTGGGGAGAAAAGAGTTCAGTTTGGACAAGCTGAGTTTAACAAAACAACCATTTCAAGATGTCCAATGTGCAACTGGAAATACAAGACTAGGGTTTGGGGCTGGATAACTCTGAGAACCATCTGTATAGATATGATCACTGAATACAAGTAAAATAATATAGAGGGAAAAGGCTCAGAACAGATTTGAAGGACCCTCACAGCTAGCAGGGATGGCCTGGATGAAAATCCAAAAAAGGAAACTGAGGAGTAAGACAGGCAGGAGAAACAGGAGAGCAACACAAAAGAACCAGAAAAAGAGAACATGGTGAGAAACAGCCATTAGATTTGGCAATATACTACATAATAAAGTCTTTATAGAGAAGTTTCAATTTAATGAGATCAGAAGCCAGAGTTGAAAGTTAAGTGAGGAAAGGAAATAGAAGCAACAATTTTAGGTGGCTTTAAGTTTCAGAAGCAGAGAACAGATACAGGATAATGGAGATGGATGGACTTATTGAGAATTTGGGGGAACAGAGACATTAGTACATTTCAGATGACAAAAAAGACAGGGAGAGACTGAAGATTAGCAACAGTGATGACAGTTGGGGGCAACCACTGCAGATGTGATGGAATGGGATCATTAGTGCACACAGAAGAGCTCATTTTGGCAAGAAGGCCCACCTTTTCATATAAGGGTATTGGAGACAGTGACAAAAGGCTTGAGACAAAAATGGGCGAAGGAGCTCTCAGTGAATGGCCTGTTATTGTTCAGTTGTTCAGTCATGTCCATCCATCTCTGTGACCCCAGTTGGGGATTTCTTGGCAAAGATATTGAAGTAGTTTGCCATTTCCTTCTCCAGCTTATTTGACAAATGAGGAAACTGAGGCAAACAGGGTTAAGTGACTTGCTCTCATACAGCTCAAGTCTGAATTTGAATTCATGT